TGCTTTTCTCTCCAGAAGGACAACACCAACTTTCTTTAGACATCATCCAGGGTCACCATCTACTCCCTGGACTGAGATCGTGGCTCAGAAATAGCACAGTCATGACAATCCTTTCCTCCGGCCAGAGACACAGCAATAAACCTCTTACCTGCAAACAATTCAGTGTGTCACCTCCAGTATTACTCTGCTGTCAGTATTCTCAGGTCTGGCAGTATGCTCAGGTCTGGCAGTATGCTCAGGTCTGGCAGTATGCTCAGGTCTCGCTCTTCTACGACACTTTGATGATGATTATTTTCTATCCAGCGGTCGATGAGGATTGTCAGCTCAGCTCGGTGCTGTGAGAAGAGTCGCCTCCATGGCAGTGTGGGCGGTCACACCTTGAAGTGCCACAAGGAAACGAAAACTGAACTTCAGCCAGCGATTCTCCTTTCACTTTTACTTTGTCCTGTTTCCTGCCCTCCCTCCTCCACATTCAGCTCGTGGATGTCACATAACATTCATAATGCACTAATTACATTCATTATAGTTTCTATAGTTACATCCATCTATTGCCTGTGGAAGCTAGCCGGCAGGAGAATGGGGACGTGTGCGCCCGGGGGGGATTGGGGGCTGCACCGCTTGAGGGGGGCTGGGGAGGAGGGGGGGTGCAAGTAGCTGGTCTTGCCTAGGGTGCAAAATAGTCTAGCATCGGCCCTGCCATTGTGCCATGGTGGTATTTCCATTATTATCCAAGCTTATTATTCCCGTACATAGCAATCTCTTTTTTAATAATGTTCCAGTTATGACGGCCTCTGTAGAGTGAACCAGTACTCTGCTGCCCTCTTGTGGAAAGTCGCATCTTTCGAATTGTGCTGAAACCTTTTATTTGAGTGTCTACATATTTTAACCAGTTGACATCCGCGGTGTTAAACGCCCTTCCCATCCAGGCCATTTTTCAGTGTTCAGTGCTGTGGTACTTTGACTGACATTTATTCCGTCATGCAGCGCTGCACTGAAATTAATTTTATACCCTTTTTTGGGGACAGATAGAGCTTTATTTTGGTGGTATTTATTCACCACTGGGGTTTTTATTTTTTTACTATATTAAGGAAAAATTATCGGCGTCTCAGTATACCGCGAGCTGTAGCTCCCTATATACTGAGCCTAGGGTGACGGGAGGACGCTAGTTTGTGTCCTCCCGTTACCCTAAGAAGAACTATGGGGAAAAACACTGACCCCATAGTTCTCCTTTAAGGGTAAGAGTGGGATACCCTCCTGCATGTCTTGAGGGATTGAGCAGCTTCTTGAGGATGGATGCAGCTTAAAGAAAACCCCTTTAATCCTCATACCACCACGAGGGACAGGTGGAGGAGCACAATTTTGCGGAGGAAATAACAAGCTTCTGCAGAGATAATTGATTTGGGCCTGATTACTTGTTTTCACATCTATCCATGTGTGAATTTTGTTTGATTGGGATATATATATATATATAAAACAGGAAATGGACTATGTAGAAGATAAACACGCTAGTAGGATCAGCAAATATTTCTACATATTCCCAAAGAAATATATCAGAAAAGGTGGTATAAGGTGAAAATGATGGCCGCATACGCGGGCAAACGCCTCTATAGCACAGGACGGAGGTATGCTGTGGTGCACATGCGTGCACAACCGGAAATACGTGCAAACACGTGCAAACGGCAGGCGCACAGGAAGTGAAGCAACAAGCACTAAGGAAGTGGCCTATTTAAACAAGCCTGCCCTGCTCACTGTGCTGATGGTCTTCCAGCTGTGTGTGTTCCTGTGCCCATTGACCTGTTGAAGACACCTGCCTGTACCCCCTTGACTCGGATTGTTTTGGACCTTTCTTGATTGCTGCCTGCCCCTGACCTCGGCCTGTCTCCTGGACTCGATTCTTTACTTCGCTGCCCGGCTGGTTCCGATCCTTGACTTTCCTTTACTCCGCATCTGTACTTTCCTGGCACCAGTGCCTGATCCTACCTGTGGCACTCGTGCTCCTCGCTGCCCTCTCACACCCTGTTCCCACCTCCAGGGGGTGTAGGACGCGAGCAGTAAGAGAAGCCTTCTCGACTGTCGGTCTCTTACCAGGTACGTGATAGGTGGAAACTTACAGCGAGCATAATGAGAGGAACCATTCGAACTTCATTCATTTCTTGGGCTCGTAAACACTTTAAAGAAGACCATACAGAGTGCAGGAGGGAATGTCAGCGAGATCTGGGAACCTCAGAATGCTGAGCGACGGCACCTTCACCCAGATGAACAGACTGGAAGAGAATAGCGCCGGAGAAGTACAGAAACCTGAGCTGTAATATTTTGGCATCTCCTGCGCCACTCTGAGTAACTGCTCTTCTCTAATCAGTTAGGAACTAACACTATTTAGATGGAACCTTTCCAACAAATAGCGCAAACCACCTTTATAAAGAGTGAACACTCCTTCAAGGCTTCAAGGAGACCTTCAAGGCTGAGCTAATAGGCCACTGTAACGTAGAGCAGAAATATTAGCTTTGAAATATTAGATGTGTTTAGAAATTAACAACCTCTAAGAACCAATGTTCAAAAGGCCTCATGTTAATCAGTCAGCTGATCTACATAATGTACCCATGCAGTCCTTCACACAGGGGGGTCTGGAGATGAGGCTCCTCTCAACAGGAAGCACAGGATATGTTGCAACCTAAACCAGGACAAAGTCAGACTTTTGTCACCGGCCATTTGGTCTCCGGTAGCAGAATGCTAAGACTCCAGCTACAATTAACAGCCTTGTGCTGAGAGTAGCCAGAGCTTCTTTTTTACTTCAGAGTTAGACATGGGATTCTCATGGCTGGAGGGTCTCATTGGAAAGAGACTAGAAGAAGATCAGGACTGCTGGGACATGTAGCTCTGAATGTGTGTTCCCTGATTAGGGACTACTGGGACTTGTAGTGCTTTACTAGCTGTGAACTGTTGTCCTGCTAGAACACTAAGGGGCTCCACAGACCAGCTCTACAGACAGCCTCCTGCCTTACCATCCCATGTGGATCCCTCTTCTGCGGAGTGACCTGATGCCTTAAGTGTGAGTCGTGACCCTCTTTTGCTGTGCCCTGCTGCTGTTACCCCTTTGCTGTGCCTGGACCACTGCCTGTGTCCCTGGACTCCAACTGTACTGGGCCCTGCTGCTGTTACCCCTTTGCTGTGCCTGGACCACTGCCTGTGTCCCTGGACTCCAACTGTACTGTGCCCTGCTGCTGGTACCCCTTTGCTGTGCCTGGACCGCTGTCTGTGTCCCTGGACTCTGCCTGGATTGCTGTCCTGTGCCCCAGGACTTTACCCTTGCTATCCCTTGCCGTTTGTTTTGCCCGGATTGCTCCTACACTTACCGTATCCTAAAGTTGAGAACCCCTAATAAAGAACCCTCTGGTCAAGGGTCCTAAAAACCACTCTTGGTCTCTCTGTGTGTTCTGTGTCTCCCACATCCCCTGTCACAGCCACTAACTGATCAGTTTACACTGGAAACTCCCTTTGAGTCTCTGCAGTCATTGTGACTAATGATGAACTAAATGAATTTGCTGCAAATATCCAAAATCGTCTCTCTGTTGCAGGTATAGTCCTGTGTGTATAATACATGTTACTAGTTATAACTTTGTACAATGGACTTCATTTGAATACAGCAATGTAGATTTCTGACACTAAATATACTTAAAGTGACATTAAAGTCAAAAACTTTTTTCCCTCCCCCCAATGTTAATGTCAGCACTTACCTTAAATGATGTTTCCTAATCTGATCTTCTTCTTTCCTGTCCTTTTCATCTGTCCCTCCAGCGGTGCGGCGGGTCTCCGATCCAGAGCTGACTCCTCTGTCATTGCCGGCACTTCCTGTCCCACGGTGTCTGCATGCGGGTGCACGCGTCCATATACTTACTTTGTGCCACTCCTCGTCTCCCGGCCGAAAATCCGAACTGCGCATGCGCCCGCCCGAGAATTTTCGGACGGGAGAGCGCGGCGAAGATGGGTAACTTTAAACCGCTTTTAAAGTTTTTTTTTTTTTAACTTTTTGCATATATCTACTGCTTGCTAGCCTCATATATATGCAAAAACACCGGAGGGTTTAGAAACCCTTTAAAGAGGAACTGAACTCTGCCAAGTGTGCCCAAAAAAGGCAGGCAGAGGGCAAAGGTCAAGTCAATAGTATTGTCTATTGTCTCCCTGCAGCTGATCCTTTCTCTGTTACTGACTTACTATGCCTTGTTCTTTACTTTGTCTCTGTATGGAGGTGGCTATCTTGGTAGAGGCAGGGCTTTTCTTCCCTTAAGTCACAGCTGCCCCCTAATGACTGGGCATCTGATGACTGGTGGGGTAAAGATAGAGGTAGGGGAAGCACAGATCCACAGAATGGATCAAGCAGAAGCAGGGAGATCCTTGCACAACAGGTCCCCAGGTACAACTTTCCCTCCAGCAGTTCAATTAGAAAACATGTGTGAATCTCTAAAGAATTGATAGACTTCTCATAATTTTAAATGTAGGTGATAGGTATGAAAACACATCAAAGCATTTGTTCATAGGCTTTAATCTTTCAAAATTTCTACACAATAAAAAGAAAATTTTAAATCTTAAATATCTTTAAAAATGTCTACAAAAACAACAAGTTAAAGATCTTAAAGGGACCCTGAGACATTTAGAAATCATTACAGATCTGTTGTAGCAGGCCACATGGATTACAGTAATTATGCTGTAAGCATCCAATCAACCCAAAGCTGATATAACAATTTGGTTGATATACTTTTCAAGCAGAAGAACTTACTAACTGGTGGGTAGAGGTCCAGTAGTACAAGTTAAGAACAATTTTGTTATAGGGTAATAAATCTTTTTATGAAAACACTTAAAAAATACATATATACTGTATGTCTAGCTTTACAAGCTGAATTAATTTACTGTGCAGTATACATTGTGTAAAAATAATGTGAATCATCATTTGTCTCCAGTGAAAAGCAGTCTGTGATTATCTCTTTACTATAGATCACTGTCTGTTAATTGACATTAAATATTTTTTTCAAGCTGAGAAGAGCTTGTTCTCTGCTGATTTCCTTCCAAGTATCTGGCAGCTCAGCTGGTAATGCTCGATACTTTTTTGCAAATTCTTGATTGAACTGTACAAAGATGTACTTCCAGTAGTCTGAGGACACAATGCTGGGATCAGGCTGAATGGCCCAATCTGGATAGTATGTACGATACTCTTTATATGGATGCCACTTGCCTTCAGTATCTGAATTTTTAAAACACATGTTAGAAACTACAAGAGTAGAACAGATATCAATGACCAGCTTCTTATTTTCATCCAAACGGTACTGTCCCAATCCTTGTGATCTGTGAATAGATGCTGTGTGATTATGATCACCTCCTCCAGCCTCACAGGGGACTTTACAGAATGGGCACTGCTTGCCACATCCAACCACCTTCCTGAACAATTCATCCTGAGGCTTCACTATCACCCTGGAAAGTACAGACTGTACATCCATAGATCTCAATTCTGATCGGATTTGTTGTTGTGTCTCTGTGAAGAAGTGTTCAATTCCTGATGAGAACTGCTCAACGTTCCCCGAGTTATGAAATGTGATGATTTTCATCTCTTTCTCTGATATCACTAATTCTGTTTTTAATAATTCACAGAACTGCTTCAAGAAAATTGACACAGAGTTTCCTTTCAGGCAGCTTTCATTTTTCAGAGCTGTTGTTATTTTCATGACAATAGAAGAAAGAATATCTCCCTGCAAGGTTTCTAAAGCTGAAGCTTCGCTGTATTTGTTTGTGATGTAGGTTAGGATCCATTTCTTTAAAAAGCTCTCATATGATCGGATGTATTCAACATACTTCTGGAATGAATTTTCTTCTAGGAGCTCCTCTAAGACTGTACACTGGAAATAACTTCTGCTGCTGAATGTGACGTGTTCAGAACCAGCTAATATCTCATCCACTATTTTCTGTCCGAGATGTTTGGAAATATAATCCATTATTGCCGGTTTCAAGCAAAGCGCACAAAACTGGATAGCTCGACTTCGACATTCATCTTTTTTATGGAAAATACTGAGAAACGTAGACAAGTATTGAGGTTTTAGCTTTTCTATACACATTTTAGGGTCATTCTCCTGGATAAACTGGTCATGTAACTTCTGGAATGCTTGAGAGGCTTTTCCAAAAATGAAAAGTTTGATGTCCAGCTCAAACTGTGCGGTAACGTTAAGCTTCTTCACATCTTTACTATTTAGTCTTTGATTAATCCTGTGTAGCAGTTCCTTGGAGTGAATTTCATTGTAATCATCTCTGGAAGACATCTTCTCTTTCACATGCTCCTCACTAGTCTGAATTATAGAAGCAGCAAGGTCCCTGATCTTCTGTTTATATTCTTGCTTCACATATATTGGGTTTCTAAAAACTGATTTCAAGGGGAGACCAAAGTACTTGTCATCCTCTGCACAAAACTCAACACCTTCCTCTGCATATTGATCTAAATCATTAACCTTAATTAATGCTGCATTTATATGAGGACCTCTACCGGTCATGTCATTTTTGAGAAGGTGAAGAATAGATTGAGACAAATTATTCCGAGTAAGTTGTTCCAACTGCATATCTGATAAGGTCTTCTTCCACATCAACTCAAATTCTTGTTGAAGTTCTTGTTCACTTACTTCCTTATTATTATCTTTATATCTTTGCAGAAGATTTGTTATTCTATCTTCAATCAATGTCTGGGATTTCCTCTGAATTTCCTGGATTTTTATTTTCCCTTTCTGGATAGACACAGTCTCATGGAACTTGCTAAGGGTGTTTCTTTCCAGTTCTTTCCTCAGGCTCTTAATACTTAATTTGAATTCCTCTCGGTGTCGTTCTATGAGATTGGCATTCTCTGAGGTTTCATAATATTTTTCTAGTGATTCGGTCATCTTGTTTTCTTCCTCCAGAAGAATATTCTGCAGCTCATTTGTGTTGTCTTCATATATATCTCCAGACTGATTTCTGATGCTATTTTCTGTGCTGATGACCCAGTTGTGAATTGTTTTACAGAAATCCCATTCCCACAAGGAGTATTTTACAGACAATCTATTGTAGGCTTTGGCCACCAGACTGTTTCTGAAATTGAAGATGAATTTCTCGTGTTTCACAGATTGCCATAAACTTTCTATCCAAGTAATAAAGTCGGAGATACTGGATGGTTTGTTAATAGATTTCTCACTTTCCATAAATTCAAACAAATACTTTTTCAGATCAAGCACATTTGAGCTGTAGCCAAGATTTACTGGAGCCATTGGTGGGTCTCCCTGCCACAGACTGGGGATGTACCAATTGTCCTTCATAAGATCGTACTTCATCACATCAGTGAAAGCTGAAATCTCATTTTTTTTCTCCATTTTGGCAGCTACCTTTGTCATTTCATTCAACTGTTCTAGAAGTTTATTTCTGTCTCTCATGTTGTTATCATGAGCTGACACATCACTGACATTCTGGTGGACAAATTGACAGTTGGGCTTCTTCCCAATTTCTTTCATCCGAAGAAAAGCATGAACCACAATCTGTAACATATCCTTCATTTCTGTTGTGTTCTCCATGGCCATATTGACTATGGTGATATCACTCAGTCCAATGACTAGTGTGGCCAGTTCATTGTCATGTTCATAGGTGTCCTCCAGAGAAGCCAACTCTGGAGCTTTCAGTCCCTCAGTGTCCATCACCAGGATGAAGTGACAGCCCAGCTTTTCCTGGAAGTTCTTTTTCACATGCAGAAGAGTCATGAAGGCTCCTCGTGTGCATCTTCCACTGGCCACTGGGAACTGCAGGCCAAACATGGTGTTCAGAAGGGTGGACTTCCCTGTACTCTGCACTCCCAGCACAGTGATCACTCTAATTTTACATTTTTGTTCTGTCTTGCTGTCCAGCTCAGTCAAGACATCTGTTATCCATTGCAGGGGAATGTTGGAGGCATCTCCATCAATGAGCTCCAATGGAAATCCATCCAACAGAAGATTTGCTGCTATTCCCGGAAGTTTAGTAAACCTTGTTTGGTGTCTCTCAATTTGTTTTTGTTTTGTCATTGAACTTTCAGCTTCATAGAACTGACCCAGTTCACGTAGAAAGTGTTCTATCCCTAAAGAGCTATCCGAGAGTTTCTGATCTAAGTCCTGAAGTTCTTTTTTATGTGCAATGTTGGTACATTTCTCCTTATATTGACTTTGAAGTTCAGTCAGATTGGATCTAGCAATTGCATCAAGATTAAATTTCATCCATTTCAGAAAAAGTTGTCTTTCTTTCTGAGACAAATCAGTAAGAGCATCGGTAAACATCTTTATACCTTTTGGAGTTTGATGTTTGTATTGCTCTGAATGAAGGTTATTGCATTGACTTGAGAGATCAGATTGATACTTTTGTGCATTTTCCTTTCCTTGATGTTTCATTCTGCAAAGTTCTTTTTTGATTTTAGACAACTGTTTCCAGAGATCTCCTTGTAATTTCATTGTTTGCTTTTTATACTCTGCCACATCACGTATTTCTCGGGTGATTTTATTGGCAAGGTCTCTTGTCTTCTGGCATTCCTCCGTAGTTTCATCCACCACAAACTTACGTACACCAAAGTACTTTGGAACATCGCCAAGTTTTACATTTTTGGTTGTGTTCTTTAAAACATTTTGAAGTTTTGGTTGGATTTTTTTCATGATATTTGCATCATTCTCTGCTTTGTTTTTTACGATGATATGTGTCTTGTCACTTCTTAATACTGGTAATAGACGCAGAAGAATGCTTTGTGTCTCCTTCTCTATATTTTTGCCTGGACTAGGAGTAACAATAAAGTAAAACATGGCGTCACTCTGACTGCATTTTGATAACAGCTGGAATTCTCTCTCATTGATTGTCTCCAGAAATATAAACACAGCTGATGAAATTTCACACAGAAATGTGAACTGGTCCCAGTTGGACTCCAGGTCTCCACGTAGGTTGGTCACTGCAAAGGCTTCTGGAAAAACCTCAGATCTACTGGAGGGAAAATACCAGGACATTTCCACAAGTCCATCAGATATTTTCCTCTCAATGTTTCCTCCTTCCATATCATCATGTATGAATAAGTTTTGATGCTGTTGGGCTGGATTGAGAATCTGATTCAGGGTTTTAGATTTGGACAGCTTGGTTTTCCCCAGTCTTACAAAGGAAATAATTGGCATGGAAATATTCACCACATTTTCCTCTCTGAACCCTTTACTGTCAGCTAGTGACTGAGGTCTCCACTTTTTCACAATGTCCCTCAATGCCCACAGCATGAAGGTGCATTGTGACCCATCACCAGCAGGCAACATTAGAGGGACAGCAAACTGACAAACGGCCATTTTGCTCACAATCTCTTGTTGTAGAATTTTGTCTGAACAATGCAGAAGAACACAGAGGACATCTAGGGGGTGGATGGAACTCGCACTTTGTGGCTCTCCAAATATATTTTCAAATGGATCATTTTCTTCTCCGGTATACAGGTCAGGCTGATCTGTGTCAAGAAGAGTGTTCCTTGCAGTATTGTCCAGAGCCATGATCTTCCTCAGAGTGCACCAGGGTACATCTTCTATTGTCTGAGGCTTATTGCATTTACTATTCTCTGCAGAGATTTCTAGAACATCCGCCACGGTCAGCCTATTAGAAATATACTTCTCCATCTTCAACAGTACAAGGAGATCAGTAAAATCTTCTTTCTCTGTAATCAGAAATAAGCATCAAGAACTATTATTAATAGGCATGTGAAGGCTCAAAACATTTTTTTTGTTTATTTTTGATCAATTCAAATTTTTTTCAGATTTTGGATTTCAGATCCGAATGTCTGAATTCAAAGAAATACATCCGAATTTCAATTAGGATCAAATCAAAATTTTCATGTCTAATTATTAGGCCATCTTTTATGTAAATTAATTTTTTTTAGAATGTTTAAAGCAGGGACTAGGGATAAGGTTTAGATTCAACTGACAATGATTTTGCAGCAAATCCACTTAGAATGCAGGGGTCCCGTTGAATTTTTGTTCAAATTCACTATGGCACCAAGGCTTGACAATACTTATTGTATTATTTATTACAGGGGTGACCCAATATAAAAGCAATACATACCCTGTGAACCAAAATCAGCCATAATAGTCCTAGCTTTTTGACCAGATTTACCAACCAAGTCTATTAGGATGTAACCTGAATGACCATCCCCCTTCTAATAAAGCCGAGACTTGTGAGGGGTGGGAGGGAAGGAAGCTGAATGATAATATAATTCTAATGGCTTCTGAAGAACCTATATGGATGCTACCTTTCGTATTGGGGGCTTCCAGATTCCACTATAAGCCCCCCATATAACTCCTACCTCCTTCTAGGGGTGTTGATGGTGGGGCAGAGGCCTTGGTCCCTCAACATTCGGACAAGGGTCGTTTGCAAGGTTTTGGCTCTGCCTTCTATAGGGTACCCCCACTATTGTTGAAAGGCATATGTCCTGATCTTATTAAAGAAGGGTAGGGGGCTGAATGCCTGGATGTGGGTCTAAGTAGAATTTTAAAGATAACTGCATGCTGTCTATTTTTCACTTTTAAAAAAAATAAATGTGTACTGTCACTTTAATTCTAAGTCTGGGATTAAACATTATGTATTTGTTTCGCTATTAATAAACATTGCAAGAGAGGTCTTGGAAGTTTTTATCAAACTCATCATGAATTAAGAGACCACAGGTGATGCAGCAGTGTAAAATCAGCAAGCAGTGTGAGCTTTTAAATCAGGGATAATAGGCCTAACTGGTGTATACCTAATTTTTATTTTATCTATAGAGATAGGGGAGTGTGGTGAGTGGGAGGATTATAATGTGAGGTGGTTTAGGCGCACACTCTACTTTCACTTAGATTTTTGTTCTTTCAAATAGTGCATTTGCCTGCTGCAAACAAAATACAGCTCTAAGAACAGATTGTCAGGAACAAATTAATTATCTGCTTTGAGCACTCCTAAATTTAAAAAAATGACCATGTCAACATAAAATACAAACTAATTAGCCCCCAAAAGAAGCGGAGACCCCAAAATACCACCCCTGAAACAAAATACCCACTTTTTAAAGGGAGGCCTTGCAGAAAAAAAGTTTAGCTGAAAAAACGCCATATCAACATAGCCCCCTAACAAATAAAAAAACAAAATATCCATTTTTAAAGGGAAACCTCCAGCCCACAAAAAAAGTTTAACAGAAAAAAAAAGTCCTATCAACATGCAATAAAATTAAATATATCCAAAAATAAATAAAACTCTCAACATAGCACACCCTGAAAAAACCCAATTTTTTAAAGAAAAAAAGAACAGTTAAACAGAAAAGGGCCCATTGACCTAAAGTAAATACCGGCAAAGAGAAGAAAACCCCCCAAAATACTACCACTTGAAACAAAAGCCCATTTTTTAAAGGAAAGCCTTGCAGCACTGGCTATGGATAGGACAGCAGCTGGAAGTCACTGCTGACCATAAATCAACCACACAAAAAAAATGAAAGACAAAAACCCCACAATATTAATTAAAAAAAGCAGCAAAGGGGTTACCTGCACAAAAAGCTAGCAATCAAAAATAAAGTTCTGTTTCCTAATTGTTCCTAATCTCTTCCTGTGCAGTTTGTCAGTTCTACCTACTCCTTCTCTGCAACAGATTTCTGATACTATGGCTTCTTTGTGCCCCTCCCCCTTTTATAATGAGGGGCTGGCACATAACAAAATTCCTATTATTGACCCATAAACCCTTAAAGTGACACTAAACTCCGGAGTTAAAACTTAAAAATCCATCCAAGTCCCTGAACTCTGAACAACAATGTATCTTATTTCTGTATCACTCGGCTGTAGATCCTCCAAAAGATTTACTGATGTAGTCCATCCCGGAGTGAGCTTGGAGCGGTGACTACTTTACAACACACACAGGGACCATAAGGAACAGACGTAGCCCCCCCTCCATAAGGAAGGACAGTGTCAGTGCCAATTCAGAGATGATTGGAGGATCTACAGCTGAGCGTCATTTTAATGCTACAAAGATTTGGGCTGGCGGGGTACCTCCGGGTTCATATACACCAACCCGAATCTCATCCCTGATTGAGGAGGAAACATACCTCTTTCCGCCATCTGGAAGGTGTGAAGTTCTCTTCTGTGATCCACAGACTGAAAGATTACAAAACAGAAATGATTTATATATTTAGAACTTCTCAGATGAACAATACTTTTTATCATTGACACAAAATAGTTACCGTATTTTCCATGTTTAAGACTCTACTTTTTCTTTTAAATATTTACCTAAAAATGGAGGGGCGTCTTATACAGGGGGAGCCGAGAGGAGTACCGCGGTTGTGAAACTGCCGATACCTCTGCACTTTTTTTCTAAGCAAAATCAACGTTCACGTTGCAAAATGAACATGCTCTACTCTTTTAGTATGTCAATCCAATGTTCCAAAGATGACACAATCATGTAAATCTTGTTGCCTGTGCAGTTGGCTGTGTTCACAAATATCTGACACAAATTAACCCGTGCTGCAGTCTCTCACTTTGCGACTGGTTACAAAGCTAAATTGTTGCAGTCTGACCACTGGGGAAGGGGAGACTGAGGAAATGCTTCCTCCTACCTGTAGCAGGCTGATCACTGGGGGAGGGGAGACTGAGGGAATGCTTCCTCCTACCTGTAGCAAACTGATCACTGGGGGAGGGGAGACTGATGGAATGCTTCCTCCTACCTGTAGCAAACTGATCACTGGGGGAGGGGAGACTGAGGAAATGCTTCCTCCTACCTGTAGCAGACTGATCACTGGGGGGAAGAGAGACTCAGAAAATGCTTCCTACTGCCTCCAGCAGACTGATCACTGGGGGAGACGAGACTGTGGAAATGCTTCCTCCTGCATTCAGCAAATTGATGACATCATCTCAGCCTTGACAAAGTCACTGACCTGAGCTCAAAGACATCTTTTTCACGATAAAAGGTGGAACTTTTCTGAGAAATTATTCTATTGCTGTATATTGTGACATGTTTGGGATTTCTTCATGCAGACTTGTAAAGTTACTTAGAGGACCATTTAAAAAAATGACAGTTCCCCTGTAACCTACCAGTATAAATGTTGGAGCGGACACAAAAAATTGCCAAATTTATCCCCTGGAAAAACACAGGAAGGGTCCACAGGCTCAAGCAGCAACACGGCCGGTCGATATGTACACAAGGTCCATTCCCTGCCGCACGCTGGAAATAGATAATAAACATGACTGTGTGAAACACTTATAGACACACAGGCCGGCACTCGAGGGGTTAAAGTGATATTCCTAAATGTAACTTAACTATTATTTTTTTTTTTTTACTTTTTTTTTCCAATGAATTGCTATCACATAACGGGGGTTACAAGCCCTCTATGGGATAGCATTCTAGTGGTGACAGGTTATCCTAGACCCCCTAATGTCCCCTTTGCACTTCAAATGACAGCTGAGCAATGACAGGGACAGAAGTGAAGGAGTTAAATGAAGGCCAGTTGAGAGTTATGACTGTGCTTATAATCAGGTTTAGCAGGAATTCTGTCATCGGTGTTTTATAATCTTGTATACACAAAGATAACATCCCAGATAACTTGCCGCAAGCTTGTGTCCGGGTTAGATTGTAATTCTTGATAACTTGCTGCGCACATTCCTGGCAGGTTGTAGACTTGCAGAACACTCGCAGCACAAGTTCTAGGCAACGCTTTTTGAATGTGTAGCAAATTTGCTCGGCAAGTCTACAGCAAGAGTCCTGCAGGTCTTAGCAAGAGCTCTGCAAGCTCGCTGGTCTGGAGACTTCCAATGCAGACTCGCTGTAATTGTGCAACAACATTGTGAAGCTCGGCAAGTCTGCAATAGTTTAGCGAGTCATTTTATAACTTGCAGCACAATTGCTTGCTTAAAACCTTATGACATGTAACTGAAGCCAAAGCTTTTTTTTTTTTTGAGTGAAGAGTATTTAGAACACTTGTCTCGCTGTCTGTGTCCTGGTGACCATTATCACTCAATGTGAAAGAAAATCCAGAATGATGGGTGGTCAACAGAACAGTAATAGATGGGATATCTTCCAATTGTGACACTAGTTCTGGTGACCCTGCTGACCACCAGGGATTTCCCTCACTTTGGAGAGATCCCCTCTCCTATCCTGTTGTGGCTTTCAGACCAGAAATTAAGGGAAATCTCCCCAAGGGGACACGGAGGGAGAAACAAACCCAATAAGGGTTATAACCCTCCCGTACTCTATCCAAAACTAAAATAAGCTTTGGCTTTAGTTGTACTTTAATATTGGTGCTGTTTTCTCCACTGTCTCACATGAAGATAGACATTACCACCTTTTCATTTTACTCTGTCTCTCCAAACAAAAAGCATAGCCAGGAGTGATAACAGCCCAATCATGTGAAGAATGAAGACAAGATTCGGAAATTCTAATGTTCTTCACGTAGCAAAGCTTTCAACGAACCTTTTGCGCTTGGCAGACTTCTATCATTGGTAATTATCAATGTTTTTTAATATAGAAATCTCCTTATCACATGCCATAATCCTCCCCCATCTTTCCGTATTCCACCCTCCATTAGTGTCTAAGACCTGGTTGTCTTCCTCATTATATTGTTACTCCCCCTCCCCCTCCCAAACACTTGTTTAAATATTCCACCAACATTCCCAAA